TATAAACTCTTGTTATTCTGAAAAACCACTGAGCGATTTACGAGAACCCAGCTTCTTTGATTACATTATTTTGCACCATGGGAAGAAGTGTTTTGGAGTATTCGGCAACAGTTTGGAGATTGATGTATCACAATTACGTGGATCGAGAGTGTCCAAATAAAATTAATTAATGCACTTTCGTTTCAATAGACAAAGGTGATCCCTCTTATAATGCGAATTTACACTCTCTTCGCTTATTTGTTTAAAAATAGTGAATAACTTTATCGATTTATAGTCTTCGAAACCTCAGTGTCTCGACTTTCGCAACTAATTATCTTTCTATCTTTACTCTTATACGATAGGTGAGATTATACAATAATATAGTCAAAGTTGATGGTGGTATATATTTAATTACCTTTTACGTGCCTTTAATTATATTTTAATTCAAGTAAGTCAGGTGATCTGAATTAGAAATGAACTCATTCACATTGACATTAGGGTTGACACTGATTAATCTAAATAATAGTATATTATTTAACGAGCGTATTATGAAGGCCATAATAAACGAGGATGATTTATAAAACGAGCCGCTTGCGGCGAGTGTTATAATCATCTGAGTTTATTATGGTCCATAATACTCGAGTCAAATACTATACTTTATCTACAACCATCCACTTATATAGGGTACCTCACCGGAATTGAAATGTGTCATTTTATTGTGAAAAAAAACTATACATGGGAGAAACCTGAAAATTCGGTAGGAAGCTAATGCTGATGGCAGAGCAATTCAGCTAGAATATTCTCAAGATGGTGGCACTTCCGGTTAGGCCGGAAGTGGATGTTAACTTGCTTTATATGAAATGGAACATAATATCATACATTTTTAGATTCTACCATTCACTCAATATCAACACTGGTTACTGTTTATGTATGCTGTTTATGTTATATGTTTATGTGTTATGAGTTGTGATGTAATAAGGAATAAATTCAATGAAAGTCCTGGATTGAACATTTAATAAGTTTAATAATATTTAATTAACATTTACACTTCAGCACACAATTATTTTTAAATTGACGCTTAATAGGATCATTATGTATTACTCTGTCTATTTCATAAAATTGATTGTTATATTAGGGCAGTTATTGAAATTCATCGTAGTTGGTGTAGTACCAATACTAATGTCCGTGGTGTCTTTACTAATCGAAAAAGTGTTATGAGAAGATTCGCTCGTAATAGTAGACATACCTGGATATTGTGAGGGGGTAGAAACAAAAGTACTGTTATTAATATTACAATTAGGGTTGATTTGACTTAATATTTTAGTAGCTGCATCGGTCTTGTTCTTCTGCGAGTCTGCAATATAGCCTTCAGCTACAGAAGCCGACTTCCAGCCTCCGTGGCGCTTCAGAGCTGTCATACTTGCCCCTGCGTCGACATACAATGTGGCTGAAGATCGTCGTAGACAGTGCCCGGTATATCTTTCTGGGTTTTTGATTTGTAAGAAACTTGCAATTTCTCTGCCCATTTTGGCAAACTTGTTAATGCCGATAACTTGTTTTGTGCATTTTCCATTTTGAAAATTCATAAAAAAAGAATCTGATGCATTTGGCAGTCTCAGATTTGCATATTTTTTAACAATATCATGGAACTTCTCAGTAATAGTAAAATTCCTAGGGATCTTGGTCTTCGTAACGGGAACTATTACTCTAGTGCAACCTTCATAAAATGTAACGTGTTGTATTTTCATTGCATGTAGTTCATTTGAGCGGCATGCACCCATCACTCCCATAATTAATGCAACCTAAAAAATTAACACCTCTTGGTAAATACCGTAGGTATGTAACGTCTTATCATTCCTTACCTTTGTAGCCAAATATTTTGTATCAGGAGCTTCATAAATAAATTTATTTATTTCCTGTCCGGTAAATGCCTTAGATTTTTTGGGTTGATAGCCTTCTGATTGTCTTTTTAATAAAGCATGTAGCTTCGCGTAGTGGTCGATCTTGACATTGTGTTTAATATAAAGTGTGCTTTTCAGCATGGAATAAAACGTCCACAAGGAGGACGACTTATACTTTTTAGCCAATTCTTTGAAATACACTAATAATGTATCTTCAGAGAAGGAGGTGGCCTTGTTTCTTGATCGCCAATCCATGAAATTGTTGTAGGCAATTTCATAATTGTTTCTTGATTTCTTGGGAAGTAAATCCAGAGACGCAGCTTCCGCTGCCGCTCGAATTTCCGGGGGTGTTAGTACTTCGTTTTCAGAATCCATTTTTATTAAATCTTATGTTTTAATTGCAAGGCGAAATTTTAAAGCTTCTCTATATGAATATTATTTACTTTACAATTATTATTTCATGAAAGAAAATGTTTGTATTCACGATGAGCGTCGCGTCGGGTAAGCTGTCGCTATGGATACCCGCTGCGCGCTGTCAGATTTAGCCTGCACGGCCTACTAATTCTTTTTAATTATTGTCATATTGGTTTGTATTTTTTGAACTGTTTTTGAATAATAGAATTGAATTGGTAACGTGTGTATGACTTTAATATGGGTAACTTTATAGTAAATTTTCATAAAAATAATAAATGAAATGTGTGAATTCTGCGCCGATTAATTGAAGCCCGGATTATTAAGAATTCCAGAATATTTTATTACACTTGTTGTTTTATGATATAATTACACTTGTTTTTTTATGATATAATTACACTTGTTGTATTATGCGTAGCATAATACTCTCACTGTCAGAAGTATTATGCGTCTATTATTAAATGGTTGTAGATAAAAGATATTTAACCATTATTTTAAAATGGAATAAAAAATTGCTTAGAGTTATCAAAATGGCAATGGCATAATTAATAATGAAAAATAATAAAAATATGCTTTAGCAAATTTTCGCTCATTGTTCCACACCATATTAGTATTATTTTAACAAAAACGGCATCAAACCTGCAGATATAAAAAAAACTGTCCTCAGTCAAATAGTAGCTTTTCCTTCTTAATTTCGATATGTTTCCAGTCAACATCGAATTTTCCGATACTTATTTTATATGACACGGCATAACGAGGTTTTACTGGGCCAAATAGTAGTTTTTCCTATCGGAGGAACCGAGGAAAGATTTATTTAGTTTTTTTTACACATCGGCCTTTAATTGCTTGTCTACGCTCCATATTTAGAAAAGTGTTCATGGTTCATGAAAATATTAAACCTAAACTGATCCTTTGTGTTTAAGATTAAACAAATTCTGATGGATAACATACTGTGGCAGAAATATAAATGTAACACTTATGTATGAATAAAAGTAAAAAAGCAATGTTACATAGGATCCAAATTTGTGATAACATTCACCGAGTCCGAAATTAGTTTACGTGGCTTAGTATTATTTTGCACACACTGTATATAAACAAAAAAAACTCCATTTTAAGCAGTTGTTAACCAAATGTAGTCCTGTGTCATATTACTTCGCATAAATATCACAGAAAGAAAATTTGGTGCTCGCAAAATGTTAAAAAGACAACATTACGCCGACGTCATAGAATTTTATAATTTTGAAGCTAAAATATTCCTTCCTTTTTACAAATGATGAAGCTGTAGATGTGATATATCGGTTGGTCGGTTGGTATGGAAAGGGTGAAATATCTCGAATGTTACAAAATTGGTTAAAAAACAAAGAAAAGGCTATTAAATATTGAATAAAAAAAACTGTTCATTTGTTATAATCACATCATATCATTGAAACCTGAAACTATTTTCCACGGTCTTCTTTTGACAACAATGTTTTTACTACAAGCTTTGGTAGTGAATGAGTGCCGAGATGTAATATTATGCACACATATTTGGTCACCCTGTATAATGTTTTGATAACAGCCATAGTTTACCATATCCTTAGTAAACGGTGTTCCGTACAATCAAAATATCGTGATGGAAGAGAACTTAGTTAACAAAACGACCACGTAACCTAGCCGGAAACGAGAGAAGCCTTGTCTTTTTAATCGGAAGAAATAGCAACAACCAACATCATAAATTAAATGTCCCGGAGCGACCGTGAATCGACAAATAGAATCAGTGGCGCGCGTCCCAATTTTTCTTAGTATTAGTCTTCAGGATTAGTCAAAAATACTGCGATTAGATATTTTGGGTCGAATTAATAAATTATGTGTTATATATTTTATAATGTTAGAAAGTCTCTCGGATATGTTTTTTATTTTTTAATATTTGTTTAGTTGTTATGTTTTATTATTCATTTAATTTTTGTTTATTTCTAAATGTTTGTGCTACAGGGTTTTACATTTATTTAAATTTATTAGTTCGCAAAATAATTCTTAAAGATACGTTTATACTGAAGAAGTGTTGGAACATAAAAATAACTTATCTCAGAACTTGTCAAAAATACAAAAAAAAATCTAAACTTAAAAAGTTCACTTATACCCTTAAACTATTATGTTGTTATGTACAGGGTGTCCCATTATAAATTACCAAATGTATAACTTTGTAGTGTAACGTAAAATCTAATTACCCAATTACACACACTTACAAAATTACGTCCATATGCATCGAGACATTTTTGGTAATTGGCAATTAAGACCCAACTTTCCGAAGTGTGATAAAATCTTTTGTGTACTCGTGAGGCATCACTGAACTGGAAATGTTACGCTCTTCCCAAAAATGGAAAAATTAAATGTGGCGACCATAAGAGATAACAAAAGACGATTAAGGCATGTCAGACACGCAATCTTACTTGTCTTAAAAAAAGTGTCTGAATAATGTCACATTTAATAGCTCTCAATTTGGATTTACTTTGTATCTCCAAAACCAATTGCCCGATGGTAAATCTGAACCAGCTTCTCACTAAGCACTAAGTTGTATCTAAAACTTTCCCCATTTAACCGTTGCTGAAGGTATAATAAGATCGGAGATCCCTGTATAGAGAAGACACATTGTATAAACATCACTATTGTGGAAATCAATTGTCATTTTTATCCCACCTAACCATCTAAAATTATGTACTGAGTACTTACCAAAGATTTTTTTGGGTAGAGTTGTAGAGGCGCTTAAATCGCTCAAAGAACTGTGAATGCTGCTCTCTCTGTTCCCAGTAGTCTTCTGAGGTGTTGTCCGCGTTCGAATACGGCGGCTAGAAGAAACAAACAAATTGGTCTTATTCATGAAATTTTACTGCTATTCACATCACTCAAAATGAAAAAGGGGACGGAAAAATTTACAATATACGGTTTACGAGAAGTTAATGACCCGATATTTTGATATTGAAGATCATTCTCCTTCATATATTAAAATTACTCGAGAAATGTAATAATGATAATATTAAAGGTCTTTATTGAATTAAGAAATTTTAAGAAAGAAGAAAAGTTATAAGACATTCAGACATACATGTTGACTATTTTTACACAAAAACCTAGTGTCCGCCATGAAGAAATATATAGAAAAGTAGATTTAACCTGTCATGTGACTATCTTAAATGTGCATTTTAAGGCATTCACAGAATTTGGTCACAAAAGAATAAAAAAAAAGCAAATCAACCACATTTGATGCAATAAGATGAGACTTGCTCGCATTCCACTCTGTATCTGCTTATATATTGTTTGAGGGGGGCGGAGCTAAAGAAGGAGCCTGAACGTTGTCTCGGATGAGTGATTCCTATATTGGTCAGTCGCGACTAAGATTGTTTGCTTGCTTATATATATTTCTATGGTTTCTCGGACCTTTCTTAGGTAGAAGAATTGATGGATGCAAGAATTTTAGTTTTATCAAGTAAGATTTGAGGTCATGACTGTGTTCAACAATTCTTGATGATTTTATTTGTCGTAGTCATTAGGCTCTTTCATGTTCTTTGAGCCTAGTTAATATTTTTCGTCTCCAATGTATTCTTTGCCGCATTTGCATAGAATGAGATATTGAGAGATTTTCGGAAAAGTAGTAAATGTGGTTTTGACGTTATATTTGTTAAGGACTTTTGACTCAGTTAATGATATTTGAATGTAAGGAAGAACAACATTGGCAAGTGCTTTCAGACTTTGTTGTGAAGTGTATTTTGTGTTGGAACGCTTAATATCTCTAATGTTATTACTTGTAAGTGGACATTCTTTCTTGACTTTAAAAAGTCTTATTACCCTATCAAATTTACCAAAAACTGTTGTCATATCATCGTCGTTTCATTGATTTGTGGCAAATTGAGAAAAGGATTTCACTTATCCGCACTACTGTTGAAAATAATACATCGTCCATCAGGAAGCATTTCATAATTTATGTTTAAATCAATTCCTTTTGTCTGATTTTTTTAAACGAGCTGAAACATTTTATATTTTAGTAATAAGAGAAATATAGTCACTATGATGCTAAAGAATAATAAACATTAATTAAATAATTTTTAACAAGTTTCTGGAAATAGTGTTATTTATAAATTTTCTGGATTCCTCCTGAGTCCGTTGTTGACAAAATAAAACTTGCTGTTGGATTCTTCAGAGTTTAACTGAAACAGTCTCTGTACTGGGCGGAACTAAAGCAAGGACATGATCCGTTTTTTGGATGACTGATCGTCATATTGGTGAAAGGTAAAGACCTGAGTCACGGTTAATATTGTTAGGTTGCTTATAGATTTCTGTGGATTCTTTGCCATATATGCATGGAATGCTGTAAACTGCTAGAATCTCAAGCAGAATTTTGCCTTTTACAGATCACAGATGTTGAGAGGCTTGATAACCGTTGACTTTTGTACCAAATGGTGATGTAATAATGCATTAAGGTATCGGTCTCTGTGCGTAGGTTTTCTGTAAACAGAATGACTCAATGTGAGATTTTTTATCGAAAAGAATATCTAAGAATGTGAGATTATTGTTAGTTTCTAATCAATCAACATGGGAATCAGTCATCCGAGACAATGTTCATCCCGGAGATTATTGTTAGCTTCTAATCAATCAACATGGGAATCAGTCAGCTGAGAGAATGTTCATCCGGGAGATTATTGTTAGTTTCTAAACAATCAACAAGAGAATCAGTCATCCGAGACAATGTTCATCCCCTCCTTCCTTTAGCTCCGCCCCCCTTAAACGAATGGGAGATTATTGTTAGTTAGTTGTTATTATTAGTTTCTAATCAATCAACATGGGAATCAGTCATCCGAGACAATGTTCATCCCCTCCTTCCTTTAGCTCCGCCCCCCTTACGATATAGAAGCACGTACAGAGAAGCGAGTCAGTTTCAGTTAAGCTCTAAAGACGTGAACAAATTTGATTTTTAAACAACATACATACATTGGGTGGTTGAGCATAAAAGGGAGTATCTATTAATGCCATAATATACAGGGTGCTCCATTAAAAAACATAAGTTTGTTTTTCCATATACTTATGAATAACCCTTTATATTTGAAAATAATTTTAAATTGTTTCTTAAAGCCAAAACCAATAATAAACGAGATATATTACTTTGACACACTGTAGACCGTAAATTTTGGTGTGATGTGGAGTACTTTAATATTTACGATATTTATAACGCTAATTAATGTTAGTAACAACTAGTAGAAAAATCGTCGATTTTCTGCCCGCACTAGTTGTTTGAGTACACATATCTGCAACGAATTTTAGTGTATCTTGGAAACAATAAAATACTATCCCATAACTAGTTCGATTTTCGAAGAATATAAGCAGTGACTTGATTCTTGGAAGGTATTATTAATTCCATAGAGCCTTGCGAGCAACCTGTTAGGGTCTTCTGTGACCTCAGCATGGCATTGGATTGTGTAGATCACATAATGTTATGGAAAATGTCTTGCAAGCGGTCCTACATTGAAATTTGCGGTGTCCTTTATATCTTATAGAAAGTAATATGTTAGCCTAATGTATAAAATAGATGGTGTATGAACTGAAATAAAGTCGAAATCATCCATGGTAACAATGGGCGTCCCTCAGGGCTCTGTATTAAGACCAGTACTCCTCCTCTTGTATATTGAGGGTTTACAGAGTTTGCGTTGTTCGGACGACTTCAAGAAAACAGCATTTAAAGAGTTTGCTGATGACTTTACGGTATGTATGACGAGTAGGTGTGATTCATGTCTGGAAGACAAATGTAGCGTGTGAAGATTTGCTATAAGTACATCATGTAAAGTTTCTTGGAATATTCATAGATAAGAACATGTATTTTAAAACTCATTGCTCTTGTCTGGGATCGGGATTGGGAGCCAACATCTATTTATTACATAACCTGAAGGATATTTGAACAGAATCACAAATATTAAGTGTTTATTACTCTCATGTTGAGAATAGAAGTAGGTATGGTATAATTTTGTGGGGATGATGGACTGGTTCGACTAATGTGTTCGTGATTTAGAAAATTCAGGCTATTTCTCATAGAACCTATTTTTTAAAAAATTTAAAATAATTTAAAATATTTACAATAAATCAGGTTTTGTGTTGAACAGTAATTTTTACTCACTGAAGATCTAAAGACGACTTTAGAGTTCCTAATGCAGCATATAAGTTCTTATATAATCCCAAGTGTAAAGAAATAAAAATGTGTGATAATTTATCTATAATAGTAAAAGAGTACTTTAGTTAGTCCTTTTCCTTCTTTGTCTATAGATTACTGTTTATAGTTTTGGATTATGCGTTATTTTATTTTATTTTATTTTTTTGATAATTTCCTATGCAAACATTGTATTTGTCGATTTCGAAAAACTTACCTTTTACTGTTTGGACTCCCGGACGGTCTGACGCCAGGTTTCCTGACCTCGTTACTTTTTTGGCCGGACGGCGTTCCCAAATTGATGTTGTTAAACACTTTCGATTTTACTTCTTTTAAATTCATTTTATTCTGTTCGTTTCCCGAAATCTTGTTCATGACCGCGTCCCATCTTCCCGCCGACTTCTTGATGGCCTTTTTTTCCGGGTTCTGAATCGCAGAACGCTGTTCCATCGCGACTTTGACTTTGGAGACCACGTCGCGTTTAGGAATTTTGTATTTCTTGGCGGAACCATCTACGTTGTTGACATGTCGGGGAGAGCTCATACTCGAAGGACTCGATACACCAGGACTGGGGGCGTTTCTTTTCTTGGGGTTGCTTTCCTTCGATGACGTATCCATTTTTTTCGTATCGCTACCAGATAGCTTGGGTAACGCCTGGACATTGTTCTGGCTGTTCTCGGATATAGATTTGGTGGAACTTTCTGTAGGCGACACGTCTGTATTGTCGCTTTTCCCGATGATCAAACCTGGAGCGTCTAGAAACAAGTACAAATCGTTCAGTGAAAGTTAGAGGTAGCAGATAGGAAACAAGAGAGATAGAGCATTTCAAAAATATAAAAAGAACAAAACTGTCGAAAACTGGAATAGATACAAAAGTCTACGTAACTATGCTTTGTCATCCCTCAGACGTGAAAAATTTGTTATCTCTGAAGATGTTGCTACCATCCCAGCATTATCACCAAATTTGCAAGATCCAGAAATTATCAGCAAATATTTGTTTTCTACTTTTTCCAATACCAACGCGAATACTTGGTTGATTAATTTTCTGAATCCAGTAGTACTTTGTACTACCTTCTCAAGAAGACATTAGCAGAATCATAAAGCAGATTAAATCAAATGCTGCAGCATGTAACAATATTCTTTTACTTATGGTCAGACTGTGTCCTCCGATCATACTTTTTTGAAATGAAACATTTTGGAAAATTTTTGTTGTTCAATGTTTGTTCGCGACAAAAGTTGTATACTATTAAACATTTTACAAATGTCAAAAAAATACAAATTTTATAGTTTATAAATATACAGGATGTTCCATTTAAAAAAAAAAAGAACGTCCGATAACTTTTTGACCTAGAACTAATTCCATTCTTTAAAAAAAAGTTTTAAAGAATATTATGTCAAATGATAATGCGCAAAATTCAAGAGTTAAATTAAAAGCTCGAAATTTATACAAAAAAATAAAGTTCAGCAGAGGTGGCCTTAGAGTATTTCTGGAATGATATTCTGTTTTTATTTCATAAAAGTGACCAAATAATTCAAAAGGTTATCATCAATTAGTAATACCATATAAGTGTATAATTGATCATAACCCAGTTAAGAGATCAATTTCATGATTATTATGATGAAAAAAGTAATAATGCGTAAGAATTTAGTAAATTTCAACAATATCTAAAAAGATCTAAAATTTAAAAATTCGAATAATGATGATATTTCTGACACAAAATATAATGGGTTAAGTAATTTGAAAGAAAAAACCTATTTTGGTGATTTATTTAACTTCACTTATTTCAATGATTTAATAATAGCGTCTCCTGTCAGTAACGCGCCAGGAGCCAAAGCATACCTGAGAAATTATTTGGCTATCAATACATTTATTCCATTGAAAGAGATTGATTGGGAAAAAAAATACAGAGTCTATTAATGACGCGGTATAAAATATAATTATTTGTGTAAATTTTTTTATTGACTATTAATATATTTTGATATTGAATAAAACATTAAGATACCTACTTTTCAATTCAATTTATTATACTTTTTTAAAATAAAATATCCTGTATTATGACATTTAATTATGACTATTTAAATTATGAAATATCTGAGTTGCCTGTAATTTTAAAGAAAACATCCTAAGGGTGCCTTTTTTGCTGATACAAGTTGGCCATGAGATATAAATAAACAATCACTGAGAATTGTTTTTTGATACTACGTTGCATTGTTTGTAAAGTGTATTTCTCTTTTCTAATTGCTAAATTCTAAATTTCAACTTTGCGACCTTTTTTTTATATAAATATTTTTTTTGCTAATATTGCTCTCCTGCAGCAATCAGGCAATACACTCACCGCAGTGCTATTTCTGGATACCTCTTACGTTTTACCACTTAACTTGTTTTGCCTGAACATTTTACGAGATCTCGATATATAGATTATAGATATAACATTCTCAAAATTTTTTCATAGTTGCCTCATAATTTTCTGTATTATCGGCATAGGGCGGGGCCCTATATCTCTAATAGTATATGATCGCTCTATTGCCTTATCATCAATTACGAATTTGGGTGCCAAGAAATGCCAGGCGCCGTAAAAAATACCTTTTGGGGACCATGTTAATAATTGTTAGTGATTCTGACAATTCTGATAAATAACTGTGCAACAGAACACAATCTAGTTAGGTCACATAATTGTTGCTTAATTGCAGCTAGTTTAAGAAAAAAACTAATACCGCTTGAATATACCACTTTATATTTTGAGCAATTTTATCAGGATATCGTATCATATTTTGACAAGTTTAACGTCCAATAAATAATGTAAATGCAGGTTTATACAAACATTTTGAGTAATAAAAATTAACTTTTATTTATTTTAAAGGTTAAAGGATAATTTTTTACTTTGAAATAAACAACGTAGAAATAGTTTGGTTAAGGTAATTGCAACAATTGCAACAAATTCAGAAGATACAGGAAGATGAGAGGACAAGAAGAAACACTTTTTAATTTAATAATTGTGCAATCTCCATCCGTTATGAAGTTTTCTTCAAGCGACAATTCTTCCCGTACTTCCTGAATACCTTGCCATAGCTGTTTTAAGGCATAAAATTTCTTCAATACAGCTGTTTCACCATTATCCCCTATCTGTTTTCGGTTGGGTCAATTTCAGTTCTATTCCTTGGTCATGTTACTGTCATTTGCATGATGTTTGCAGTATGGATAGGACAGTTTTGTCTTGTTGGAAACTTTAAATATTTTTCGGATACAGCTGTTCCACGCTGGGCATCATAACGTTGTGTAATGTTTCGGCATAAGTTTGATCAACAAATCTCATCCCATTCCTCAGAATGAAATCCACCCCTTTTACACTGAAATGACCTACAACTGTGTACCTGTCGACAAATCCAGGGTTGTCTGGTTTGTTGACTTTGATTTTGCAGTTTTTGGAAGATTAGAAGATCGTTTCTTCTAAAAACATGACCTTTTATGAACAGAGAAAACGGTTATTCTGCTTACATTAAAACGTTTAGCTGCCGCTGATAAGGACCAACCATCTTCTAACTTGGTCACAATTCTTGGAATATCTAATAATAATAGATACTAAATATTTATTGACATTCAGGTAACACTAGAAATACAACTTATAAAAATAATTTACATATCGAAAGCTATTTTTTGTATAATATTTAATAAAAAATAAGCGTACCTAATGTTGTGTACACAGTGTGTCGAATGTAAAGAGGGGATGCATGGAAACATCGGAAACCAAACTAGATACAGGTACAATTAAATTAGAAAATATTTGAAGAACTTTATGAGAAACTTATATATTGCCGCAAAATGATTCTCGCGTGATTTTTTTCTTAGAAATTCGAGAAAATATAAAAAGTTAGATTTGTCTGATGTTATGATCTTGGAATTAGTACATCATTAGAACACGACGACAGCGACGACATAAAGTACAACGGAATTTTTTCATTTGTTTTAGAGATACACAATAGATAGAGCATAGAAAATGCTCTTAGATTATGTGTCAGACAATGCACGCAGGCAAAACTTGATTTTTTTATCGCTCTCAACATACATTTGGAAAAAAAGTTTTTACAGTACTGACTGAACTTAACATTAGAACGGAAATTTCAATGATTAATACATATTGTTGATTAATTAGTATTGTGGATAGTCTCGATTACAAAAGATGTTCAAACAAACGACCATTACGGAGTATCGTATGATTGTGGAATTCAACACATTATTAAGTACAGGGTGGTTGTAATTGCAGTGTTTTAACAGGAAAAATCCTATTTCTAAATTAGTAAAATTGACTTACATGTCAAGGGCTCGATTTTTGAGAAACTGTCTCTTTTCGTCTCATTAGTTTTCATTATGTTTTATGATTAAAACCTTATTTCCTGGTTTTTAAAAGTCTAGTTCTACATACATTTCAAACTATTACACCAGATGTACAGGGTGGTCGTGATTGGAGTGTTTTCACAAGAAAAACCTACTTCTGAACTAGACAGCAAACTCGACTTAATTTTGAGAAGCATTTAATGGTTAAAATCGCATAGCGATATTTTCACTACCAAGCGACAAATAGGGCGTTTTTCAATTTCGGACCATTTGAAAATTGACCATAACTTTTGAATTTATGAAAATTTTGATATTCGAATAAAACCATTTCTTATAGCAAATTCAGTGGCGTATTCAGATTTTTTATACAGTTCAGCTATATAGATATGTTGGTAGGTATGTGTGATGAATGAAGACGGAAATATATTTTTTCTTGCGACGCTGTCTCCTTACGAAGGTTGGCAATCCAAATGGCTATTGTCGCACTAGAAGCCGCAGGTGTTTGGTGTTTTTCACATAAGTTATTTTAAATGGGCCCGGCCTTATCTATTTTAAAGTTTCAGTGTTTATTAAATTGTTTTAAAGGTTTCTATGTCACGCCCGTTTGAACATATTATACAATGCCTACTAATACGAAGGTGGGGTGAAAAGTTTCCGGCCTGACCAAGACGTGGCGCCACTAGGTCTACTTTTGGAGCGACATCCTACGGTGCCATTCTTACCGTGTTTGTATGTACAGTTTCAATCTAATCGTTATGTTATTTTGTGTTTGAGACTACATTGCGCAAGACGCTTCCGTTGTTTTCGTGAAAATTGAAAAATTGGAAAAACGTGTCGTGATCAAATACTTCTATTTGAAAGGTTTCACATAACAACAAATTAAAGAAGAGATAGATTCAATACTAGGAGACTCCTCCCCATATTCAACTATTAAGCAGTAGGTTTCTGAACTTAAAACTTCAAAAATGATTGAGAAAATTCATCAAAACCGCAGGTTGAAAGTGCATGAGATAGCTGAGACCTGTAAGATTTCAGCTGAACGTGTGCGAAATATTTTGCATATTTGCATACTTCATAAGACTTGGGTCCATCACTACACTCATGAAAATAAATAACAGTCGAAACAATGGGTTACAAAATGGTAATCAATTTCAAAGAAGGCTAAAACAATTCTATAGGCAAACAAGTTTATGGTTACGGTTTTTTGAGATTCGAGAGGAATCATATAAATAAATTAAATAAAATTAAGTAAATAAATGTTAATACGACGCAGAGTTATTGTAACGTTTGAAACACGAGGGGGGGGGGGGCAAACTAAACGACCTCATTTGGAAAACAAAAAAAACATTTGTTTCATGACTATAACACACACTCGTCGATTGTTGCCATGTCCAAAATCCACGAATTGAATTGATGCCGCAACCTACTCTGCAGACTTAGCCTCCAGCGACCATGACCTGTTTCCTAACCTCAAAATATGGCTTGACGGTAAAAAAGATTTATGAGCAACGGAGAAATTATCGAAGCTGTAAATCAGTATTTTGAGGAGCTTGACGAATCAACTTATAAAATTGGTATAAGCAAATGAGAAATGTATCAGTGCTGACTGAAAAAGTTGTACTGCTTTATGAAAAAACGGAGAAGTGTAGAACAAATCTGTGTACGCAACTGCAAAAAAATGTTGGTAGTAAAAACAGCGCCATGCGGTTTTAACCATTAAATGTTTCTTGAAAATCGAGACCTGGACACGCAAGTCGATTTTGCTCTAATTCAGATATTGGTTTTTCTTGTTAAACACTCCAATTACGACCACCCTGTGCATCTGGTGTGATGGTTGAAGATGATGTACAGAAAGTTTGGTAATGATTTTGACACTCTTTAAAATATCTGCAAGCAAAAACTTCGAATTTAGAATACCTACCATCCAAATCGTCCTCATTCTTGTTGCCCGATTCTATGTCGGTAAATATCCCACTGGAATCCATGTTCTCCCGGTTGTTGACGTAGATATCGGCCGCGGCTTGAGGATCGACTCCATACAAGGTCCCGTCGATCACTTGAGCTTTTCTGCTGTCACCTTTGTGCTGATTCTCTTCGTGATTGTCGGCGTCGCTTTCCGTGTAAAAATCGGAATCGGTCATCGGCTCAACTCTCCGAGGCTGAGGCCGCGGCAACGGCCTCTTGGTCAAAGGTGAATTGTCCGCCCCTCTGCTCGCAGGACGAGACATTTCGCCATCTCCCTGATAACCGATATCCAGGCTGGTGATACTGGTTGTGATACTAGTGATATAACTTGACGTTTTCGACTTGGTCGGTTCCGTTTTCGGTTCTGATTCGACTATTGGTGTCGTATCTAACGGTAATTCTTCGGGGGAGGGAGTTTGCTCGCAACGGGCCGCCGCTAATTCCTTCATGGAAATGTCGACGGAATCCAGAGGCAATTCCAGATTCATCGTGGTGTCGGTCTGAAGTGCGGTGAACGTGGACAGCATGTTCAAATCGATGATGCCTAGGCTGAAGTCGGTGATGCTGGCCTGATTGGGACTCTGGACCTCTTCCTTACAGTCGTTGAGTTTGGCAAAGTCTACCCGTAAAGGCTCCTTAGGGCTGGCCAACATTAATTTAATCAGTTCACCTTCGCCTAAAAAACAATTTCCGATAGAGATGTTTTTTATCGGGGCGATCACATTTTACGATTAACTATTTAAAAAAAAAAAGTCTAACAGGCATGAAACCCAACTAACGGTTAGGTTGCAGTGCAGATTAGCGTCATAGTTACAGAGAAGCATTGGATTGACTGACTAAACTTAAAACGTATTAAATCCACAATATGTTGTTTTGAATAAAACTTAAAAAATTAGCAAGGTTAGAAGGAAATAGGATTAAAAAAGAATATTTCCAGGTTTAATATAAATTTTCGATTTTCACGACAATAAATATATTTTTTTGTTTACTTCTTACTTAAATTTCTTACATTTCCGTTAGAGTAATTTAGTTTACATTATTTTATAAGGCCAATAAAATTTATAACTTTAGTGAAATACTTATTTCATTAACACAAATATCAAAAACTACAGTTAAATCTGAAAACCAACATCCTTTTCTAGGCAGCCGCAGGAATTTTCAGCTTTGTCTTTTTGTTCTTCCTCTATTTCAACTTCGGAAGTTTCTAAAACAGTTTTGTACCATGCATTCCTTTTCTTGCTTGCATTCTTCTCCAAACTCTGGGATCAATAAATGCTTTAAGGATTTTTGTTTTTCTTCCTGTACCAAGTTCCAGCAATTTCCATTTTTAACCGGTATTCCTTCTTTCCTTTTATAGGAAGGGATTTTGGAGTCTCAGCTTGACTTTCAGACCTGAAGTTTTCGAAGAATGTTATGCTAATTGGTGCATCTTCATTTTTTTAAGAAGGTTCATAAGTGTTTGACCAGTCAGTTTTCCCCAAGACACTTTACTTCTCCAAATTCGCTGTATATGTTATAGTTTTCTCAGGTAAGCTCACAGGCGATTGTTTTTTTAAGAAGTAATACTGTAATTAAGACCCCTACCAGCCGTGTTTTCAGTCCATGTATAAAAATTAGATTTTTTTAGCTTGCACATCAACCCAACAAAGTACATAATAACTAAGCAGCTGGACATAAAAGGCATCGCTTATTGATGTCCGTGGAAGTCTGGAGGAGATTCTCTAGATAACTCATCAAAATATTAGGTAATTTCCCCATTTTAATTTGGTATTTCAAATGATAACATAAACCACATATGTCTGAAAAAAATGTAATATTGTACTACATTTTGTGTAATCGCGCAATATTTAGATTAGCAGGCCAATATATTCTTTTTGATTTTGACCTAGAGTAATGACTCACACTCGTGTTTTAACTCTTCGCTCTGTAATTCCTAGAACTTTTACTAAAAACTTTAGACAGACGTTTGTAGGCCATATAGCCCTCCTGGGAGTTAAATGGTAAAGAGTATTGACAGAACGTTTTTGACGATTTAGGTTGGAAATCCTGGTTTGCTTTAATTCCAGTTGCATAAAAAATGTTTCTTCATAGCAAAATGTCAGGCAATTTTATATTATTACATGAAAGTTTTACATGAATGCTTGCAGTGCCTTAATTTTTTTTTATTATTTTATTATTTTTATATTCATATCTACAACAAACGAAAAAAAGTATTACAAACAGAGCTATAAGAATAAATTTAAAATTTTATGATATTACAACTTTTGCATTTTCCATCAGTTCTTTCAGAAACTCTACGGATTTTCTTTCGACGTTCCACACTGCCATCTTTTAGAAAAATGTTACTTGTCGTTAAATCTATTTGAATGAGAGCCGCCAATCAAATGTATTTAACGGGCTTTGACCGAAATGAGTTGTTCTGACAATAGATTCAATAAAACTGAATTCACCTTACAATATAAAAAAAAAATGAATTTAATGTGTTTTGCTCAGTTGCTCCTGATAGTAATATTCCAAACAAACAATTAAGTTTTCAATTCCTACTTTGCAACGATCGGCGCTGTATCGTGGTATATATTGACCGAATAAATAGCATGCAAGGGAATGGCATATCCTACTAGTGGAGTAAAAAAGCGTGTAGAAGTCGCTTATTTCTTAAAAATAAAACATTTACTTAGAACCAGATCAAACCTGACTGAAATCATTAGTTAGCTTATTCAACGTACAAAATAGGTAATTGCGACTTTTTTAGTGGTACCGAGTTTTGTACAATCTAAAAAATTTATCAAAAAAAACTTTTTATCATTCACCCTCCAATAACTCCGAGACTATTCAACATATCCGAATGATATTTTATTTGACTTGAAAACCACACATAAACGATGACAAAAATTTATTTTCCATTTTTTTTTCAAGACCTCAAATATGAAAATTGGAATTTTTGTATTGAAATTGTCAGAAAGCGAGAAACTTTTTTAGTTCAAAAATTTTCACAGTATATGCTGCGAATAAAATGGAGTAGAATACATGTATAATATCAGAAACATAAACCAAAAAATGTTCATTATATTTTTAAAATTAAATTCACACAATTATTTATAAAAAAATCCATTTATCATCATTTTATTGTAATTTTGGCTGATTGATATCTTTATGCATTAAATTTTGACTACAAGTGTTTCTAAATACAATGTTTACTACTATTCAAATGAAAGGCCAATGAAAAGCAAATATAAAAAAAAATCTAGCATAAAATGTTGACTTTAGTAAATATTTTTGTTATATGATTGCCTAATACTAATTAATAAGTCGTCTTTTTTATCAGAAATATAATAATAAAATGAACAAATTAGGTAAAAACATATCAACATCTAAGTTTTTGTATTTACAAATTTGATATTAGACCGGATTCGCTTTACCAATAATCTCAATTGCTGGAGTATTCTGGAGGGAGTATTACGATCACGAAAATATAACATATATCTGCTACGCTCTGCCACCAAGATAACAACGGCAATTTTTATTTAGAAAACTGGATCCAATATGAAGTTGATTATAACAAATCGGGACTTATTTCTGATAATAAAGGATGCCCATATAGGAACCAAAAATGGCACAAGAGATAGAAAAGATCAAAATTTTTTGCGCAAAACAATATTGGAAGTGGACCAAATCCTGTAAAGTCGAGTCACGACTTGTGGAGGAAAGTAAGGAATGGTTAGACCACCCCTTTGAGTTTTAATTTTTAATTTAATTTTTGTGCTATATGGAAGAACAACTCTTTTTAAAATGTTTTTGCAACTTTTTTCCATTTTCAACTAGGTATATATATTTTTTTCAACTTCAATGCAATTGTTTTTAGTTGTTAGACACAGTTGCGATATGGTGCAAACTTTAACTTATTATATAGGATGTCCCAATTGGCATGCCATGGCCCACTATTGCTATCTCGGTAACTATAAGAACTACAAGATTGGTTAAATGAGACATAATGTACACTGTTTGGGGTATACTAAAAATCTGGTTTCACATAAAAAAAAATATTTTGTACCGAGCTACGGGGGTTTGTCGCAATCTTAAAAAATATAATTTTTACCAAAAAATTCGTAAACAACATTTTTTTTTGTATTTCTGACGTTCTTCAATTTGGTATTTTTTAATTTAACCAACTTTATAGTTCTTATAGTTACCAAGATAGTGGCCCATCGCAATTGGGACACCCTATATAATTAGGCTCCACTTTCGTTTAGCTAAGATCAGTTATGGAAAAAATATTATAATCTAGTATTCTTATTTTAGAGTAGTAGATATTTACTATTATAGTAGTATTTTGAAGCCTTAATAAACAGAAAACAATGAAGTTTTTCTGTGGAAATGCTTGGGTTGGATGTCTTTTCGCAATTTTATTTTTTATACGGGATATTTAGAACGTAAAATTCATAAAACATTATATGTAACTGAAATTATTTTGAAATAAAAATGTAGTGCATTTTCACAAAAAAAATCGTTTTTATCTTGGAAAATGTAATTGATTTCAGCAAAAAAAAAATTGCTACAATCCTAAATAAAAGATATATTATTAGGTGATGATTCTCTTACTCCAAGAAAAAAAATTTCTAAGTGAGCGTCAAAAATCGAGAAATACGAAATAAGTCCGAAATTTTCCAGAAGAACACTTACATTTTGTTGCAGGAAAATTTTAATCTTATTCGTAATTAAACTGCAGAAATTGGCCGTAAATGCTTCCTTGCTAATAGCAAAATTTGGCAGCCATCTTAATTGTTAGTTTAGTCTGTCTGTCTAGTTTTTTACTGTTTTATAAAAAAATAGGTTTTTATAATAAAATTGAAAGCTCCTTCTTTACAAAAAATTCAAGACCAAAAATTTAGATGACATTTAAGCAAAGTTGCATATAAAAAATAGGGTTTTGTAAAACGCGCTTTATTTTTGTGTTTCCCTGTATATAGTTTAAATCCTGTAAAGTAACTAGTTTTATAAAATTTAAGACAATGCTCTTTATACAATATAACTGTGTACAAAACTTATTTCTGGCTTTTCCTGATTAAAAGTTTCATGCCCCTTTGTTCCCATAAGTATAGACGTAATTTTAATGAACCAACGAACATTTTATTCCCGAATTTTTGAATAAGCATAAAATGTATTGTTTTCAAAATGATTTTGAACTCTTTATCCAAAGATTCCGCTGTGCCTATTATATCTTTGTTGCTACAGTATTTGCAATTATATTCTTCATAGCACTTTAAGCCTTACGCCAACCATTTACATTTATTGCTGCCCAGGTTACGCCAACTATTTACATTTATTGCTGCAGAGGATCTTGTGTTGAAAATATTGGTGTCCAGATATTGTTTCTTATTTGTCCATCCATATTTATTTGGTTTATCAAAATCTATATAGGGTACATGACTAGAATACCAGATGTTCAGTTGATATATGCACCTAAAATAATAAAAAAAAAACATTATAATATTGAAGTAACATATCATCGTTTCATAATATGTTGTATACCTTTTTAAATGTTCTTCAAATGCATTATAAGTTGGAGGCAGTTCCATCTCATGGCTATTTGAATTTGTTGTTAACTGCATCCGCAGACCATATAAGGATGAAATATCGTTTTTCTTGCTCGGGTCCACTGCTTCATTGTCAAGTAAA